ATTACTAAATTTTGTTTGGAATGAGTTAGAAAAAAAAAAACTTTCATTTTTCTCACTTTCTATCCCCACTCAGGACCTGTAAAGTAGGTTTGCTTCTCTTGGTTTCCAAATTAGTGACCCTGAGTCTAGAAGCCAGAAGTGGGTCTTCAGCAAAGAAGACTATCATCAGAAGCTCTAGGCAGCCTTGAGATGCCTGAAGAACTAAACCACCCCACCTTCAACTTTTTCAAAAAAGCTGGAGTTTTGAAAAAGTAAACCCAAACTGGTATTTATACTTGCCTGAAGAACACAGCTATCAACAAAGCTTATTTAAGATGCTTACAAGATCAGGCTAAGTACTTTCACTATAAAGTCAACAAAAGCAACCAAAGGAGTAAATTACATGGAAATGATGAGTGGGAAGAGTAAGGTCTCGCTGGCTAAAGTGCCCCCCTGAACATTTTAGCTCCTCCATCTGCAAAGCAACCTATCCAGATAAACAGAATGCCAGCCACAGATCTAATTTGCTATTTTTCTAGAAGAAACACTTTTAAAAAGTAAAAAGAAACAGGTAAAATGAATATAAAAAACATATTTTATTTAATAGCCAACAAGCATATAAAAAGATGCTCACTATCACTCATCCAGGAAACTAAAATCAAAACTACAACAAGCACTTCACACAGATCATTATTATTTAAAAAAAAAAAAAAAAAAGGAAAATGTTGGTGAGGATTTGGAGAAATGGAACCCCTGTACATGGCTGGTGGGAATATAAAATGGTGCAGCTACTATGGAAAACAGTATGAAGGTCCCTCAAAAAATTAAAAATACTGGATAGATATCCAAAAGAACTGAAAGTGTGATTCTGAAGAGATGTTTGCATACTTCTGAAAGAACTGAATGCATCACCTGTGAGATGTCTGCGCACTCATATTTAGGGTGACACTACTCCAGAATATAGCCAAGAGATGGAAACAACCCAAGTGTCCACTGATGGATGAATGAATTTAAAAAGTGTGTTACATAAATACAATGGATTATTATTCAGCTCTAAAAAGGAAGAGAAGGCCAATGATGATGAATAAGGATGAACCTTGAGGACACAATGCTAAGTGAAATAAACCAGTCACATAAGATAGATACTTACACAGGCTATCTAGAACAGTCGAAATCATAGACACAGATACAATGTGCTAGAAGCTGGGAGGAGGGGAATTGCAGAGTGGATGTTTAATGGGTATAGTGCTTTAGTTCTATAAGAGGAGAAAATTTTGGGAGTGGGATGCAAACTATGTGAATATACTTATTAACACTACTGAAATGTACACTTAGAAGTGGTTACGATGGTTAAGTTTTATGAGGTTTATGCAGGTTTTTTTTAACTACAATAAAAAAAGTTTTTATTTAACCCAATATATTAAAATTATCTCCATATATCATTAATGTGAAGATGAGCGTGATATTTTACATTCTTCTTTACATACTAAGTCTTCACACTCTAGCGTGGATTGACACTAACAAGCACATCTCAAATTGCACTAGTTGCTTTGCAAGTGCTCAGTACTCACCTGTAGCTTCCCTACTGTGCCTGGGCTGAGCCAAACCTCATCTGTCACCCCCACAAGACAAATCTTACAGTTAGATCCAAATAGTTAAAAATATATATATATATTTTTTTTGGGGGGGGGTTTGCTCAGGGTCTTTTTCTTGCTACCAGACTTTTTCTGAAATCTTATTTGTCCTCAGTTGGCTCTTATGAAAGACTGATGAGCAAGACTCAAAACTCTGAACATCTCCTGAGCATTTCCTTTCATGCCCTCATTAGGATTTCCAGGATGTCGTGCCTCTCCTCAGAGGGCTCACAATCTAAAAGGTGGGTCAGACAATTATCAGCTGCAAGAGGAGTATGCACAAGATGCGGAGGAAAATAAAGGACAACATAACTCCTACCTATAAACTCTGATGTTCGAGGGAACCAATGTTTAAGTTATTGAACTAGCATGAAGTTAATGAACTAGCTCTCACTCTGTTCATAATGTTCACTAGCACATTCCGACCTTTCTCAATTCTTACTTCCAACTGCAACACCTACACCTCCAAAGTATGAATTTGTGCAGAATTTAGCACACAATTTGTATTAAAAACACATTATGGCATAAGCGCGCGCGCACACACACACACACACACACACTAGAGAAAGCACTCAGAAACCTAATACCTGTCAATGATTTTAACTAAAGTAATCAGTTAATCACTAAGAAAGAGAGCATTTGTCAAATTAATCAATCCACCCAGGGTATACAGAGACCAAGATTTGGTTGGTACAAGTGGGGGGCGGGGGCGGGAAAGCTTTCCTTTTCATGGAAAGCATATAATATTGTTTGAATGTACCCCAAAAATAGGGGACATGGAGGAAAATATGAAGGCATTTCTAGTATTAACATCTACTTGATGTACATGTACATCCTAGACAAGAATTCACTTTCTCATTAGAACAAAGACACAAGGTCAGAACTGCAAGATCCACTGCTATCTACCCCAACTTGCTGAGCAGAAACTCTTCTGAGTGGAGTTCCTCTTTATAATCTCACATTTGTGGTGTCCCAGCTAAAACCAATCATAAAGATTTCTCCATGAAAAATGTATTTTGCAATAAATTACCAAAAGCTTCACTGAAGATCTTCATGGATATGATTCAGTAAAAAACACTCTAAACATAATTAGAAACTAGAGAAAAGAACCCAAATGTATCAACTCGGCATATTTCAGGTGTCTTTAGGCATGGAACTGTTAGAAGAATGAGCAGGAAAAAAGTTAGAAACTACAGAGAGGGTCAATTTTATGCTTCAGTTTGATAAAACTCACATCTGACCAAGTCCTCTCCAGTTCCCCATTTGTCCCCCACCCCAACAAACAAATCTCCCCAGAACCTAATTCTGAAAACTTACCTTGGTGCACTAACCCAAACTCCTTATACCTTATCATTTAATCCTCTCCATTCAAGTCTCAGTTACCATGCCAATCTACTAGAATGTAGTTACTACTATAAAATTACACCTTGGGACCCATGACTCGACTTCACAGGTACAAACATAACTTTACTTAATAACTTAGATTGTGATCTCTGAAGAATTACATCTGTCATCTTGAGTAACGGTGCTTACCTTATAATAAGCTCACTGAAAACAGTATGTCACTGTACATACTTAAAAAAAAAAAAAAACACACTATCTCACCCACTCTTCCTGATTAAGAGAAACTATTTTTGTGCATGAAGCCACCACCTGTAGAGGCAGATTTATAGGTCTGCAGGAAAAATTACAAGGCTTCCAAAGGATCCTTAAAATACACAGGTTTTCAAAAACACATACCATAAAGCCCTATTCACTCAAAGTGAGCAAGAATGCTGTAGATTCATATACTCGGGAGAACTTTCATGGGCAAACATTTGCAAGTACCAACTAAGAAGGTTCAAATGAATTCAGGATGGTCCTAATTATCAAAGCAATAGTAGCAATAAACTTCAAGCTCCTTTCCCTAAGGAGGGATCTTAACAAAGTCTATCTCAACTTTGAGAAGATATCTAGCCAACATGAAGCTACTGTCTTTACCATCCCTCTTTGCTACTTCCCAGGTATCCCCAACCAGACAAGCAACCAATCCTCTGAGGTTCTTTTTTTTTTTAATTTTATTTACTTATGATAGTCACAGAGAGAGAGAGAGAGAGAGAGAGAGGCAGAGACACAGGCAGAGGGAGAAGCAGGCTCCATGCACCGGGAGCCCGATGCGGGATTCGATCCCGGGTCTCCAGGATCACACCCCGGGCCAAAGACAGGCGCCAAACCGCTGCGCCACCCAGGGATCCCTCCTCTGAGGTTCTAACGGTAAAATAGGGACAGACCTGCAGCTCTCTGAAGGCCAAGACACAGAGCCCAATAGTATCTGCAAATTCAAGATTTGTCATTGTCTTCCAGGACTTGGTTTTAGTTAGCCTTTGGCCAAAGTGTGATCTACGTTGTAAGAAAATCTATACTGGATCCTTAAGGAATAATACTGCCAACTTCTATCTCATGGGTGCAGGAAGGAAGGACTTATCTGTCCAAATGGTAAGCAAGATTCTGGTGAATCCTGACCAAGACATTTTCTATTAGTGGGGAAAAGTGATTTGAATCAACACAGACTTATTCCCTTACTGAGGCTGCCAGAACTGAACATGCTCAAAGTCACATGCTGGGGGCTCAAGGGTCAAATCTAGCAAACAGATGTTTTTATTTGGCTTGCTCTAAATTGTCAATTGTCAATCTGCACTCCTGGGCTACAATATAGGAAAACCTACCATTCTGAGACCACAGGCCCACAGTCGGGGGCAGTTACGTTCTCCAATCTGCCACAGTCCTTACCAGTTCAGTTTCCTCACTGATCGTACGTACTGTCAGGTTTTCTTGGTTTAGACCCTAGAGCAGTCTTTAACCCCTGAAATAAAATCCCACAATCTCATCTTCTTAGTTCTATATCCAAAACCTCTGAGCAAATAAAAAATCAGCTCAAAGAGAAATCAAGTGGAAAACAAACCATTTTTGTGATGCTATATTGGTACTGCCTTGATTAATTAGATCACTTTTTAAGTGTCATTTTTGAAAATGGGGAACTTGTCTCATCTTTCTTCATGTTTGGTTATGTCGTTAAGCTATTTGCTATATTTGACAGAGTCCCCTTCAAGCACAAGGTCATTAATAGTTAAGTCTTAGTGGTTAGAACAACACACACACACTTTAATGAAGGCAGGCGGCCAGGATCAATAGGTGATACTAGATACATTTTATCACTGCCACAAAACTTGTGCAACATGTATAAAAAAAAATGTTGGTTTTGAGGTCTTATTTGACATCTCCATCAAAATATGGACTAAATCAATAAAAGGATTCTAAAAGAGAGTTTAATTTAAATGCCACACACAGCCTTTAGACAGATATTCAAGCAACCACACATTAACTACCTCTTACCCAGGTACTGCTTACCCATTGCACTGAGATAATGGTTGAAGGCCTGGCAAGGAGGACTTGGGGTTTGTGTTGATTTGTCACAACTCATGGGTGCCGGGCTCCTGTCTGTGTCAAAAGAGAAATACCCACTGGAGGATCGAGACAGCAGGGAGGATCTTCTCACAAAGATGAAAAGCGGGGATCTGGTAGCAAAAGGGCCGGGGCTGGCTGGTGGGGCCAGCGGGCCCTGAGGGCTGCCTTGGGGGCAGCGGTCCCCTTCGCCTTCAGGATTACCTTGCTGCTCTGTCTGTAGAGAGGTAGGGGCCCCAGGCCTGAGCTGAGGAGGCCTCTCAGCAGGCTGCAATTGTCCGCCTTCTCTGTCACACTCAGAACTTACATCTGAAGGTTGCTTTGCCATTTGGTCTTTTTTTCTGCAAATAAAACAAAAACTAAGATTATCTTAAGCAAAATAATAATTACAAGTAAATTTAGCTAACTTTCGCGGATTCCTTCAAAGCTTTTAGAACAGCAAATACTTTAAGTTGTTGGTTCATACACTTCTCTGAGGATCTTCCAAATAAGAATAAAAACACACCTAAAATAACAAAGGTACCTCTATCTTTGCGGGGGGGGGGGGGAGGGGAGGGGAGGGGGTGGGACTAAACTTCCTGCCACCAAACAAAACACAATTACAAGGTCAACGTGAAACTGGTGCTGCATCACACACACACACACACACACACACACACACACACACACACACGTTCCAGAAGCCGCTTGTGTCCAGTGTATTCACATGCACTCTTTGCTCAGGGCCGACTTGAATAAGTCGGAAACTCCCCGCAGGCTCCGATTTCCCGGGATCAGATACCGCGCTGCAGCACAGGAGCGGGCGCAGATGCAGCGATTGCAGGCGGCTGGCCGCGTTCCCCACTCCGGCCCCATTGTTCTGCCGAAAGTGCTGAGGGCAGCAAGTCTGGGGAAGGTTTGGCAAGGGCCGGCAGTCGTAGTAAGTGCGTCACAATAGAGTTTGTAACTCGGAGCGCGGCGCGGCCGGGGCTCGGGCGCTCCCCGCCCGCGGTCCCTCCCGCTCCCCGCCCGCGCGCCCCTCCTCCCGCAGGGGGCAGCGCGCCGCACGGGGCCCGACGCGGCTTCTCCGGAACGTACCCGCACAGCGAGGTGCACACCTCCAAGTGGGGGGGCCGTGACCCCCGAAGCCGTCCCTGGGCGCCCCCTGCAAAGAGCCCAAGTAGCTCCGCACACTCGGCTCCCCGGGGCGCGCGGCCCCTTCGTCCCACTGACCCTCCCCTGTGAAGGTATTTGGGCCGAAACTCACGTCCGCCCCTTCCCTTCCGATCGTCGCGTCCGGGCCCGGGCCCCGCGGCGCCCCGCCCGCGTCCTTCGCCGACCCGGAGCCCCCTGGCCGTCAGCACGAAGGGAGCGCGGGAGACAAAGCCCGGGACTCGCGTTCAGAGCCCCCGGGGCCGCGCAGAGCCGACCACCGGCCGCCCGCCCGCGCCGCCGCCGCCGCCGCCGCGCTCCGCCGGGCAGCCCAGGGCTCCCCGCGCCGCGCCTCTGGCCCGCGCTGCCCCGGCCGCCGCCGCCGGGAACATCCTCCGCCTCCTCCCGCTCCTCCCCTCGCGCACTGCGCCCGCCGCCGCCGGCACCGCCGACCTCCCCGCGCCGCTGGCGCCGGGTGCCCGCGCTCCCAATTGGCCCGCGCGCGGTCGCTCCCCGCCGCAGCCAATAGCCGCCGCCCGCGGGGGCGGCGCCTACGGGTCAGGCCGCCAAAGGCGAGGCGATTGTTGACAAACTCGCCTCCGAAGGCTGCCCCGGCCGCGGCGGCCGCGGCGGGAGTCCCGCGGACCCGAGCTGCCCAGGGGCCCCCCGGCCCGCCCCGCCCCTGTGCCCGTCCGGACGCCGCGCGAGCCTCCGGGTTCCCGCCGCGCCAAGTGCCCGGTCACCTGGAGACAAAGCAGGAGCCCCGCGCTCTCCGCACCCGCAGAGCCGTCCTCGGACCCCAGTGCTGGCTGCTGGCCGCCGACCCCAAAGGCCGCCCCTTCCCCCAGCCGGGGCACCCACCGTCCTCCACAAGTTCCTCCCCCTTCTTCCCCGAGCGCGGCGCGTACGCTCCCAATCCAAGCCGCCGCCACTGGCCACGGGCACGCATGTCCGCGCGCACCCGCGAGCGCGGCAGACAAGGAACACATCCACGCCCCGGTCTCCCGCGGCCGGCGGGTCTTCCGCCACGGGCTCGGACACCGAGTAACAGGCCCCCGAGGGCACCGCACCGCCCGGCGGCACTGCGAGTGAGTGGGGGTGCCCCACGGATGGGGCAGGTCCTGCGGCCCGAGGCTCGCCCATCGCGTGGCGCCGGCGATCGGCGGCGATCGGCGGCGATCGGCGGCCCTCGGCCTCTCGCCGTCGGGATCGTGCGGCTGCTGGTGTCTGCAGCGCAGCCGCGGCCCGGGCAGGGCAGGGCGCCCCCGGACACGTCCAGAAGAGCGCGAACGCTGCCGCCGCCCTGAAACCTCCGCCTCAACCGGTGCAAGGAAAAAGCCGAGTCTCGCCAGCGAAGGAATCGCCGCAGTTCCGCAAATCCTCCGCAACGGGCCCGAGCACCCGAGGAAAGCCAAGCCGCCAGACCAGCTCCGACGGCGCGGCCGCTACCTGGGGAATGCGGGGGGGGGGGGGGGGGGCGGGGAGGGCGGGGGGCGTCTCGGGACAGGGCGGCGACACTTGCCGGCCGGCCGCGCAGCCTAGTATCCCGGAGCGGGGCCGCAGCTCCCGGGACAGCGCCGAGAGCGCGCGCTGCCTTTCCCCGCCGGCCGCGAGAAGCTTCTCCGCTCCCTGGCGCGCGGAATCCCGGCCCGAGCCGCACTTCGGCCGAGCGCCCCGAGCTCTGCACGCACGCCCCCTCGCCCACCTGGACCTGCGTGGGGGAGGGAGCCCGCCCCGCCCGCCGGACCGCTGCCCCCTGCCCGGCGACCACAGTGCGACGGGGACACGCAGCTGCCTGCACGTGCTCGGGAAGGGAGCGGGAGGTGGCGCCCACCTGGCTCCGGCGCCTGTCTTCCGTCCTTACCCCGCCCGCTCCCGGGGGCTCGGATGTATTTACCTTGCGCTTCTCAGTCCGAGAGTCAGAGTCAGACATTGGGGGGGACGAGGGCCAAGGAAAGGGCGCCAAAGGGGTGGCGGCGGGAGCGGGGCAAAGCGAGCAGCCCGTGGCGATGCTGGCCGCAGTTGGGCTGGGGCGCGTAGGGCGACTGCGAGAATCCGGTGGCAGTGGCGGCGGCGGCGGCGGCGGCGCGGGACGGAGCCCTCTCGCAAGACCCAGACCTGGAGGCTGCGCGGAGCGAAGTGAAACCTGCACAGCCCTGCAGCTCCGCTCAGACGGGCGGCCCAGCGCCCTCAGCCAATCGCCGCGAGCTCCGCCCCGCCAGGTCCCGCCCCGCCGCGCGGGCCAGCACGCCCCGCCCCGCCCCGCCGCGCCGCAGCGGCGGGCGCGCTCAGGCTCCAACAGGTAAAGGCGGGGGTGGCCGCGACGGGTTCCCTTGCGCGCGCCGCCGGCCCGGCCCCCCGCCGGGCGTGTTTACTGGAGTGACTAAGGCTGCCTGAGGGCTTGAGCGCTCCGGTACCGCCCCCTGCCCCCCACCCCCACCCCCACCCACCCCCGCCCCCGCCCCCGCCAGTGTACCCTGGCCTCGCCCCGATCCAGCAGGGCCAGTGCGTGCGCGTGGAACCGAGGGGGCGCTCCGGGCACACTGAACCCGGCCGGGCCGCTGCCGCCGGCGGAAAGCCTCAGGAGGCGCCGCTGAGCCCTCGATCGGCCGCGGGAATTTCTGAGCCGCTCTGGGGCAGGCGCGGGGACTGGGTTGAGCCTCGAGAACGCGAGGGGCCAAGGTTGGGCAGAGGGTCTCTGGGTTCTCCTCTCTCCCAGAGTCCGGGGTACTGGGTGAGTCGAGTCCCCGACGTGCCGGGCTGCTCATCTTGCTCGCCCCAGCCTCACGCGGTAGTCTTAGGCGCCCTCCTTATGCCCCCTAGCAGGGCACCTCGCTTTCTCCCGGGCCGGACCGCCTACGGTTAAGAGGCAGAGCCCTCAGTGGGGACAGTGGAGGCAAGGGCAAAGAGCGGATCCCCAGAGGCGTCTGTTCCGCAGCCCCGGTGCGAGGCAGGAAGGCACTGCGCGAAGAGCAGGTAAAAATAGGGAAATGAAAAAACTCGACAAAAATCCTTTCAGGAAAAAAAAAAAAAAAACAAAGAAGAAGAAAAGAAAAGATCCAGAGGGATCTCGGCCTTCAGGTGGGAGAGGGGGTGGTATCACTGCTGGGTCGGGATCCTAAAGATTGGTCGGGCTCTCAGAGCAGAGACCCACCCGCCCGGGAGGCGCGCGGAGGCCAGTGAAGGCGAGCCTGGGGAGTGATGTGGGGCACGAAGTACCCCCTACCACTTCTCCCTGCGCGCCCCCACCCCCTTTCTCCTGGGTGCCGACGGCCTCACTCCCACTCCGGGACGTACTCCTCTGGGTCCACACCCTCATCTGTTCTCCTAATGTGGGTGCTGGGTCCCCACCCTTACCTCCTCCTGCGCTCCCGGGGCTAGCGGACCGCCGCGGCCGGGGAAGTAGGGGGGCAAGGGCGCTCGGGAGATGGAACATCCTGCGGCGGGGAGACCTGGTTAGTTAGATGGCATAAAGAAACCGAGTTCAAGGATCCCCTAACGTCCCCACCCCCCGCCCCCGAACCAAGAAGGAAGGGACCTCAGTTCAGAGGAGCAGATCAGCGAGGCGTTGTCCCGCGGCTGGCCACCTCGCTCGGTGTCCTACGCTGCATAAGCAGGTCAGGAACGTCCAGAAGACTGCACGGCCCCTCGTTAAACTCTTCTCAGCGCGTCTCTAAAGAGTCCTGAGCCAAGCGCAGGCGGCCAGGGGTCGTCGGAGGGACTCAAGAACGCTCGCCCGGTTCTGCCCCGGAATTTCGTTGCAGGAGGGAAAGGACAAGGGCGTGCACGCGGCGAAGTGGGCGCAGAGCCCAGATGTCCACCCTGACCGTGGTTTGGAGCTGCTGCCCTGGACCTCAGGTGGCAGCCGCCGGCGGACAAACTCTTAAGCCTCAGCCGCCCTGCGTATCGCCCCCCGGGGGGGGGGGGAGAAAACTACAAAACTGCACCCGCTGGGAGCCAGAAACCCGCCCGGGTGCTCCGAGCTCTCCGTGGGGTTGGGCGATGCAGACAGGGACAGGAAAAGAACCACGCAGAAGAGAGCCCTTGTGGTTGTCATCTGGTCCTATCAGCTCCGCCGCCCCCGCGTCGTCTGCTTTAGCGACCCTGTGAACACTTTAAAAAACAAAGGCGACAGGGAAAGCAACCCGTTAAACACTCTTATTTTGGGGCGCATGGGAGAGGTCGGCTCGGAGTCTGCTCCTCCCGCAGCCCCGACCGTGCTGGGGAGATTTGGCGGACCTCTCGCGCCGGGCGACCTCCGGCTCTGCCCGCCCTCTCCTACCGGGTCTGGAGGTCCTCTGGGAACTGGGCCACCGTCCAGAGAAGGGACAGTGGGGGAGGGGCAGGTAGGTGGGCGTTAGGTCTCTGCTCCGGTCCTGGCTGTCCCCTCGCGGACACGAGCAGAGCTGAGCTCACGCCTGCCTCTGCCCCACGAGATGTGGAGAGGGAGTGAAGAGGGCGGCTGGGGCTGAGAAAGGAGCAAGAATCAAGTGGGGCAAGGGGGATCCGAGAAACGGGACAGGGAGGGAATCTACAGCCCTTGCCCGGACTACAGGCTGCCAGTGTGGTCTCCCCTAGTTCCGAAATCACCTTATTGCCGTGTACTGCCCCAGCCCGTCTCCCCATCCTCGGCAAGCAGCTGCAACGCCTTTCCATCCGTTAATGTCTTTATTAAACTTTGTATCTATGCTCCTCTAAAGAACAGATTACAATTTCATATGGTAAAAGTATTTTCCGCGCGTTGTCTTACGGTCCGGAAGCCGCCTGCCTGGGAGGATAAGCCGGAGTTTGCGCTCTGCCGAGAGCAAAACTCCGGGCGCTCACTCCGCTTTCCCCGTCCGTGCGTCTCCTCTAAGACCCCAAGAGGGTCTGATTCACTGGAAAAGCATCACTTGCTGAACTGAAACTTTGCCCACGAGTGTTTGATTTTCTTTTTTTTTTTTACGCAGCATCAATCCGTTTCCCAAAATCACTGTAAATCTGAGTCACCGCTGACAGCAGGAGACCTTTGGTGGCACCCGGGTGTAGGCGCGTTCGCAGAGGAGCCAGTGTCTAGGGAGATCCAGTGCGGAAGCTGGGAGAGGTGGCTGCCGCTCCGGCAGGGTTATCTGATAAAGCCGCATGTTCCGGGGCTGCCGCTTGGTTTCCTGTCCCAACAGCCCAACGCGCACTTCTCAAGCCTCTGTGGGAACCCTGCTCTGCGACCCAAATCCCCGAGAGCCCCGAGAGCCGGGACCCAGCGCATGCCAGGCCAGCCTTGGCCCTAGTTCCAGGCGTCATAAAAGCTAGTGTCGTGGCAGCTGCGAGCGAGCACCACCCTTCGCACCACGCCCGCTATAACTTGGCTTCCAGCTTGCGCCGCTGAGTGCGCGCCGCTTCTCGGGGCTCGGGTTGCAGCGGTGCAGGGTAGAAGGCCCAGGCGGCCTTCGCATTGGTGATGCCTGCGATTGGGGCGTGGAGGGAGGTGTCTGGAATGTTAAAGGCAGAGATCACCCTCAGGGCATCATCCTTCACCGAGTCGCACAGATCCAGCAACTGAAAAACACAACGCAAAGGGACAGGTCAGATGTTGGCTCATTTGCAGCGTGGCGTGCGTAGGCTTTGCGCCCACTCCCCACCCACCCTACAGGTACAGGGGAAACTTGTTTGCCTTTGGATTTTCTGGGACCCAGGAGGGTAGAGGCCGTTGGTCATGAATAACCTTCACAATACCTTATCATAGAAATTCCTAAACCTGTGCCACCTGTCTGGCAGAAGCCGGCTCCCTTCAAACAGGGTTGGGGGCAGGCTCCAAAAATTATATGGGAATCTCAAGACCAAGGTCTGAGAATTTATCCCCGGTCCCCTTGTCTGCCCTGCCCACCCCACCACTCCAGTCCCCACCATAGCCCTCCTCTCCACCTCTGGAGTGCCTGGGGTGCCACCCTCTGGCGTGCAGAGGCAACTGAACAGGAAGAGCATGAGACAGGTGAACTAGTGGAGACATGCCCCAAGTTTTCCCCAGACTAGCACCTTCTCACCCCTGCCTGGCAGCAGGCCATGGTTCCTGAAATGCCCGCGAGGTGGGACTGGGGATACTGACACCAAGCATTGGCATCTCTGCACCTTCCACCTGGCTGATGCAGGAAATCAACCTGCAGTTAAGGAGAATACCAAGGAACCTGGAAGATACCCTCATGTATTCTGGAAGGCATAGATAAGACATCTCAGCAGAAGGGAGGGGAAAACAGAAGCTAGTGATTTGGGGGGAGCTGCATTGGGTGTATTTTAATTTCATTGTCCGTGGTTTGAGTGCCAGTGCATTTTTTTTTTTTTAATTCTGGTGTGTGTGTGGGGGAGGGGTGCTGGTAGTGGAAATAAAGCTATCAAAATAATAGATTGTTTTTTTTTCCCTAAAACTCAACAAGGAAGGACAAGGCAGAGGGACTGCTTTCCTTTCCCATAACCAGCTGCATACTTTACCCCTCCATTTTCAAGTTTTCAGCCAGCCATAAATTTCTTTCACTCACCAAATCACAGTTAGTCCCCAGTTTTCATGGTTCATTTTTATGGTTTGAAAAACATCACTTAACAACAGCCCCACCTTTGCTGCCCTCACAGTGGTGGTCATCACTAAGCTATACTAACACTGTAAAGAGCACAGTTCCCTTAAAGGAGCCCCAAATGCCATTTTAGGTGTTTAGAGACAATGAGGGGAGGGGTCCCCAAAACAGAGGTTGGGGTAAGGTAGGGGAAATAGTCTAACAATACATCTTCCTTTAAATGTGCTCTATTACATCAGTCATTTCTAATAAAAACCTTCATTCTTTACACACTGGTTAAGCATCATAAAATCAGTAGTGAAAAGACTTTGATCATATTTGCAAGATGCACTGTGATGAACTTTCACTGACCAAGATTTCAAAGTTTGTAATTAATACTCTTGACAAATCCCTGACTAATCTGTCAACTCTTAAAGTCTTTAACCACATACTTCAAAACCATGAGATGGTGTATAAGTCCTTAAACCTTCTACATATTGTAATTTCATTATTCAAGATAACTTTCCCTTTAGGTTTGCATCATTAGACTCAACCAGTTTTTGTCATACATTCAACAATGGTGGAGGATTCAATTATCTGAATGAGTGTTAAGTGGAAGAGAGTATGAGTTTGGTCTGTTCAAACACA